CAAGGATTTTATCATTTGACTTCAAAATGGAAGTAGGTATCGAGTTGATTTTTTTTCATCCACATCTGTATGCACTCATAAGTTATCCCTGAAAATTTGAAGGTGATATCTGTAGCGGTTTTGGAGAAAACTGCCGGACGTACGGACGGACAGACGGACAGACAGACGCGCCTAGGCCGACAATATGGCCCCACACTATGTGGTGGGGACATAAAAACTAAATATTTGATAAATTAACCTTGTTGGTAGAATTTTATCGCATGAACTATTGCTAATTGAACATTGATTTGTAGTCTTGGGTTTATGTACAGAGGGCACTGAAGAAAGAAGTGTTTGGTATTCCAAAATGGTAACCACAGGCACATTCTGGTGAAAGTATCTTTTTAAGATTATTTGCGAAAAATTGACTCATTTTTAATGCTGACCTTTAGAGCAGGGGCTAAGAATTGAAGTTTTGTCAGCATAAGTGAATGTTTCATAGGCGACATTATTTGGCAAATTATTTCTGCCAATGAGAAATATCAAGAAGCCTAAGATACTGCCCTGAAGTAGACCAGTACTAGTATTCATCAAGTCCGGTTCAGACTTTTTTGACTTTTACCTGTTTACCAGAAAATAAGAACTTCAAAACCAAAAGTAAATAACCAGTAATGCCACAAGAAGACAGTTTATATGTATAATTAAAGAATGAGGAAGAACATCGAAAGCTTTTGACAGATCTAAGAATAAAGTACGAACATTGTTTCCGTTTTGTAACTCATAATGATAGCAATAATCAATATAAGCAAATTGAGACTAGCTATTGTGTGAGAGTTTGAATCAGGGTTATAAATGAATAGCAGAGAAAATATTGTTTTCATGCATTTGGATAAATATTCTAGTCTGAAGCTCCTGAGAACTTTAATTTCCAAGGATTAAGGACATTTAGATTTGGATATTAAGGAGAGTTTTGAAACCAAAATCAGTACATTGAAAAGATTGAACATTGTTCCTCATTGATAATTATGACATGTTTGATATTTAAGCCTGATTTTGTGCTTTGTTGCTTTAGCCCATAATTATCACCTTCATCATTATCCCACCAAAAACTAGTTTTTGCATACACATGTCGCCATAAACAATTAAAATTCGATGCAATTTCAGAGCAGTCCGCTCTAAATATATATTTTGGGTTATTGTATCTAGAAGGGTACATAAGGCTATTAATTATTTCAGATTCATTATTTTGACCTTGGTCTAGATTCACTGAAATTGAACTCAATTGTGAATTTGATGATTTCATGTTGGTGACATTTATGACATCATTTATCACAATGTTAGAACACCGAAAAGGATAATATTGGACGTTTAGTTTGGGACAGGTGCGTCGTGTTAACAAATATAACAGGTTTAAGGACATCTGCGTTGGTCAGCAAGCGTCTTGTATGATTAATGTTTCAATTCTGTTGCGCTCTCTAGACCCAAATAATCCGTGTAAATCGTAAACAGTAAGAACGACTATGTTAGGAATAGACTATGAGTTTTAGGTTTTAGGAGGAATAATAGCCGATACCGCTAGGAATGGTTTATCTAACTTAAACCTCATGTACAGACTCTTATGAAAGCTAAATGACCCATGATCCAATTTTAGGAAAACTTGATTTCTCTTGTATTGACTATGAGGTAAGAGTGTTGAGAAGTCAGTGGGTGTAATTAGTTAAGCTTCAGTGCCCTGCATGTAACAGTTTTGTTTTCCAATGTATGAACCATAAAAACTAATGTAACAGTTTTGGGCTGCGTTTTTAAACTGCCTGCAGGTGAGTACATTGCACACGTTTTCAACAAAAGCAGTTCATCCAAGCGCACTTAAACCGCTAATTACGCTGTGGCAACCTTGTCGGCTGCTCGCGTATGTCAACCGCGTCTGCTCGTTGCTAGTGCACCGCCCGAGTTCCACTGCTATAAACCGTGGTATCTTTCAAAAGAACTATGTGAGTGTAGTGCGCTTGGATAAGCTATTTTTGCGGAAACGCATGAGCATGTAATTTGCACTACATGGCTTATTTTTCTTTTAATGGTACCTGGGGAGAAACCTCATTCAAATATTACGCAATTCACTAGCACCGCGGGCATACAAACTTGATATCTTTTGTATTTACTATTCAACTATTGAATGAGTGAATAGGGGGTAATCTGTTAGTTTAGTGCACTGCATTTGACAGTCAATGGAGAGGTTAAGCTAACGATGTTTTTCACAACGTAACCGTGAACGCAAAGTACAAAAATTAACAAAGGAATGTATCGAGCGCTCATAGTTTTATGCGCGCTTAGTCTACTTCAGATACTCTTTCAGCTTCAGAGTTTCGGGTTTAGAACGGGAGATTTGAATATTTGACGTTGGGTCAACGGGAACCATTTTACTCGTGTCTATTGAACACTATGCTGTCAATTTTGATTTCGATGTACAGTTGAATTCTTGCTGAACACGATGATGTATGTCATGCATGATTTAGCGCCAAAAATCTTACGAAACGAGCTCGTTTAAAATATGTATTAGAAAACCAGCTATAAAACCGCATCAATGACATACTATAGAATCATTACACGCTATGGTGTAGTCTAAACAAACACTGGATTTGAACGGCTATTTATATGAGAAGGCTACATGAATTTGTATATGGTCGAGTGATACGTACAGGTTCAGTTTCGATTATATATGCAAAGCTTAACCTCTCCATTGTCTTTTGTGCTACACTGTTTTGGGATAGCTTGCCAACAATAGGAAAAGGATGTACTTCCTTTCGATACAACTGGATATTCTTAAAAGAAACCACAGCCCATTATATTGTGTTGTTACCTTAGTGGGGTCTATGCCAGATTAATCATGTTGGACAATTCTGAAGAATTCCATCAGATATATTCATTATTGAGCTCACATTTCGTCAATAAATACCATGGTACTACAGCTAATGCAGTTTTCACGTTTTAATTCCGTTAAGGCCGTTAGGTGGAAGCCAAAATAAATAAACGCTAACAGCACTTATTCATACATAGCCTTTCCAAATCCTCTCATGTACATGTGAACCAGAGAGGCGAAATGCATTGGCTACAGTAACATTGTGTGTGGAACTACTTTGACTTTAAAAAATAAGCAATCAAATGACTACATTGCAACAGTATTATAAAAAAATAGAAACATATGAACTTGTCCTAACTTTTGTATATTTCAGATAGTTATGTATAATGTGCAGCAAATCTGTGGCCTTTTGTAATTTAGGGAGTTTCAGCCATCATGTTAATGATTTGCTAGCAATAACTTAGGGACTTAGCCCAGGGGGGGGGATTTCCCAAATATGACCTTTCGTATTGGCACGTTCAATAATAAATTTTATAAACAGGCCTCATTACCCTGCGTGCAGAGTCTAGTTAAACTACGAAGCTCTCTTTTAAGAAGTGAAGTCAAAAGAATGCAAAGGATAATGCCTCATTTGCCATTGAAATAAATCTCTCAATGTTGTTTCATGAGTATCCTCTACTTACTCACTTCGAGAGCCATGTTAGATTTTGAAACTTATGGCTCTCAAACGGAGAAGTGAACAGCTGATCAATAGTGACCTTTGAAACTGAATTAAGTCGATCCGCGGCTTACTTTTGGTCTCTAACTGTGTCTTACATCAGTATCATCAATCCGTGTAAGTATTGGAGCGCTGGAGTACTTCTTTTTCGATCAAGACTTGTAAATTGTTCATCGAGTTAAAGTTTTACAGACCTATTTCCAATATGGCGGTTTGCTAGGTGCGAGATACGCAACGAACGAAATGAATTTTGAGAATTAGTTAGGTTCGGACAACCTCCGGAGATTTACGAAAATGTCCGAGCAGAAACCGCCATATTGGAATTTGGCAGTAAAACGATTCACTCGACCTAACAATTACAAGTCTTGATCGAAAAAGAAGTACTCCAGCGCTCCAATACTTACACGGATTGATGATACTGATGTAAGACACAGTTAGAGACCAAAAGTAAGCCGCGGATCTACTTAATTCGATTTCAAAGGTCACGATCACTGAGCTGTCCAAATGCTCCGTGGGAAAGCTATTATATCAAAATCCAAATAGCTTTCGCAGGAAGTAATCCTCTACAAGTTTGGATCGAGTTACTAGAATAGTATTATCGTAGTTTTGAAAGGATGATATTGAACTGATGGGAACGCCATTTCCACAAATTTTACTTTGCGCATGCGCGACACTGAGAGTGCACGTGCTTGTGATTGTTCACGTGATCACATCCTGCAATTTGATTGGATATCATATAGTGGGGAATCCCCGAATACGATAGAATATGAAAGAATTATGGGAGCTACTCACTACTACTGGACTTACTCAAGATATCCTAGCTTTTGAGCAGTAGATTGATTGCGCAGTAAAAGAAAAGCAGTATTTATTGGAAAGATCTATTGATCTGCTCAGTGTGTAACAGGTTAAATTGATAGATAAATTAAATTAGATCCCATATACCGGTAACACCAGCATGTCCAATGATATACCAGACGCACAACTTGGAGACAATCAGTGGCCGTATGCCACACCAGTATAGTCATTACATTTATTGGTATGGACATCTTTTTAGATCATTTTTTTGTTATGAATGTGAACTCAGAGTAGCCAAGCTTCATTTTATTTTGAATGCTCATAAATCTGTCAAAATTAATTACATGTCATGGTATTTACATGCAAAATGTCACTACCTGCCATTTGTTACAGACGCCGACCCCGATGTCGAAACCCATCCACAAAAAGTTGGAGACAAACAACGTGTCGCCACTTGTGGTGGTGACATTAAAGCCTTGGATATAATTATGAACGTTCTAATATAAATGTCTGTGTATAAATCTGGCTTTATTTAACGTAAATCTGGCTTCATTTAACGTAAACCAGAATTCCATTGACTAACATAAAATAAATCCAATCTTGGGAGTAAGAAACCACGATTTGAAATTGCTAAAACTCATGTTTACTTACAACAATCCATTTCGTCGTCCCCCATCTCACAATCTCTGACGTCATTGCATAACTTCCTCTTTTCAATACAGACATTGGTTCCATTGCACGGCCATTCATCCATGGAACATTGGGTGTAATCGCCTGAATCAGATAATTGTATAAAATAACAGTATAACAGTTCATCAAATAATCATAATGAATTAAGATACATAGCGTAAAGGCTCAGCCACATTTGCTCTACGGCGGCCGTAGTTTCACAAAATCGATATAGAAAATCTTAATTGTACTGCTTATCCCTATCTTTAGGCTGCATTCACTCAATTTTGGGAAGGTACGGTCGCCGTACGGTTGCCGTAGATCAAATGTGACTGGGGCAAAAGTAGTTGAATTAAAGGAATAGCATACCAAAACATTTGATTCATTATTGTCATAATATCTGTTCCCTTTGAAAACCTATGAATCTTTAAATTATATAGAAAGCTATTGTCAGCTGCCACATTTAATTTCCTCCCCGCCTCATCAACACTATTAGATAATATTCAATGTGATGCTAATGAAAGGTGTCGACGCGTCCATTGAAGGGAAATCGGTCAATATGACAATAATGGTATACACGTTTTATCAACATAGATGGTTCATCTTCACGTTTTTATGAAAACTTCCTAAGAATAATTCTGATTAGGTTCCTGGAAAATCCAATTGAGAGGAGAAAGTAATTCATTAGGGTCATAACATTACAGTTCCCGTATACGTCTTCTTAGAACGTGTAGCTTAATCTCACCATTATATGACTCGTGGAGACAATAACCGACCTTCACTGGTCAGTATCAAGCGAAGATAACGGCCGTCACCTTCGCATCAAAGATGGCGGAGGGGAAGTGTAGATTTCGATATTTTCAGTTTTCATTGAATTCAACTACTTTATAGTTGACGTAATGCTTTGATATTTGAACTAAATCCGACTTATTTGACATGGGAACTATGGAGTATGATAAATTGTTCATATATCATGCGTAGGCGCCACAGTTCAACGGTATAATGGAAATATACAGGGTGGTCCAAAAAAAGTGTACCCCTGCAACATGCTATATTTTCCTTAATACTTGCATGAATAGGCTCATATTATCATATGTTGTAGAAAAAGGTCTAAAATTTTGGTTGATGCCATAATTTATTTTCAGTCTTAAATTTTGAAGAAATTACAAGAGTTTAACAAACATGCCTGAAAATAAGATAGTTCGCAAAATTTTACCAATGTGATTCTCGGATATAGTTGAAACACATTGGATGATCTTAAAACAGCTTTCAGTTAGAGATACATATTTAAAACCCTATCATATGACAAAAGGAACACTATTTAAGCAGAAAACACATTTCACACGTTCATTGACCATTTTGAAGCAGTTTTAACCATTCAACAGCTCAGGGGTATATTACTTACACAAACAGTTAGAGGGGGGCCTTTTGTAGAAGGAAGTTGCCCCCTGTGACCGGGTATCTGAGAAACCCTTCATCAATTAGCTTTAAAAAATCAAAAGAAAATCCAATATTCAATGTTTTGAGTCGTATTTCATAAGAATTGGTCCATGATTTATGAAGATATTGACATTCCAATATTAGTTCTTTAAGACTGCAGCTTAAAAAATGTCAGGGGAAGGGTGTTGAAGGGTTGAAGAAGGGAAATATGGCCCGTTGCAGGGGTTCACTTTTTTGGACCACCCTGTAAGATACGGTAACGGTCATGTTAGTTTTCAATACGCGGTAAGTTGACATCAAGCTCTCCATTATAAACTCTCATAATCCCAGTTACCTTCCCTTAAACGGTGGAAGATATCGGTTAACTGTGGCGCCCTCGAACAAATGATCATACCCCTGAGTGTCCATGCCATATAACTCAGATTTAGTTCAAATATATGTCAATATGTCAACTATAAAGTACTAGTAGTCTAATTCGATGAAAACTAAAAATATCGAAATCGACACTTCCCCTCCGCCATCTTTGATGCGAAGGTGATGGCCGTTGCCTTCGCTTGATACTGACCAGTGGACCTTGGTCTTGTGTAATTTACTTGTATAAGTGCCTCTGGAGTCTTCAAAGGATATGTGTGCCAGACGTATAAGTCGAGTTGACACATAACCTCAAAGGGAACGAGATTCTTTGAAACAAAATATAACTCATTTTGATCAACATCTTGCTTGTCGATTATAACGGAAATATGCGAGGCAGCTTGCAGATTGCCGTTGCATAATTTGAAGAGATAAATGGATAGAATGTCATTCTGCGTCATTCAATATAAAATAATTTGTACAGAGATCGAAAGCTGTGGTAAATAATCATAATTGGAGCTGTTTATTGTTATTCGCCTACAAATATAAAAGATTTATTGACAATTTCTATTTTGATTGCAATCTGTTATTTTTGAGGGAAGAGAAATCATGCTGGCAAGTTTTGTAAAACCATTGATAAATTTTTGCTTGCCTTTTTTTAGTAGCATGCATTAAAAGTACAATAACGTCATTTCTGCAATCTTGAGAGTAAGTTTTAATTTTTTATAAAGAGACGTAATGTTGTATTACCCTGATTACACATATTTTTGAAGATATTGGAAACTCGGCTTTCCCATTTTAGCCGGGCAGAAATCGGAGCAAATGTGACTGAGATATCAAACTGTATGCAGTAGTCTCAAGAGTCAATTAAAGAAATCAAAAACGGTTACGTATGGTTTGTAGTACCACAGAGCAAGTCAATAATTCACGTTCACGTTGCCCCATCAGCTGTTCGGTTGTATTACCCATGATTGCAGTTATTGGAAAATGAACAACAAGCGTAAAAATAGTTCTGGAAATGCACTTTAAAAGTTTGCTATGATTGGAACCAATTGTACAAGCAGTACCAGTTACAATATGATAATACTTGCTTTCAAGGTCAATATTGCAATATCCGACAGAAGTCTGGCATATTTACGAAAATACATTTTGATTCCCCGTCTGAACTCGTATCGGCTTTGTGATCTTACGGCGTCCATACATCACGATATCACAAAACAGTTAACGCCAAACATTGAACTATTTTTTCGAGCAATCCATTAATAAATTATATTTTTGAATGATAAAAAAGTAATTTACTTTCGCAAAGGGACTTTATCCTATTATGTGTTTTTTATGGCAATTCCGAGCCAACCAAAGTTTTCGGCACAATGTTTTGCCACAGCAAAAGAAACATATCTTTACACATAACATAACATGTTGTTAAATAAAAAAAATTGAGATTCTAAACATATGGGCCGACGCTTATAAAATGCGTTGGATGTTGCAACGAAGGCTATAATTGATAGATTAAGCAGTAAATGGATGCGTTTTAACTGACATTTCTAGATAAGATTGAAATATGATTTGAATTTTTGTTTCTAAATTGGCTCTCATTTTCCGATGAGATGTTTTCCATCTATCTCCTGTCTATGCTATCGTGGTAATTGTCTCACGTTTCAACTCCCGGGCGTTGAATTGTTTGGCGGATATCTACGTCAACGTCTTAAACATTTGGTTTGAAATTTAGTTTTTAAAAGTAGTCATATACTATTTTAGTCCTTCGCTTCTGTTACATTGACGGAGTCTACAATATTACCAATGTTAGTTTGACGTAGACTTTCGTCAACACAATGTAACAAAATGGAGGAACCAAATGTTATCGGGTTCTGCTGGATCATTTTTATAGAAATATTCCATATGTGTTATATATTTGTATCTTTTAGGTCAATCTTAGGTCAATCAAGTTTTATTCCTCGTATTACCAGGCATATGAGAGGTCCTTCCTTTGTTAAGGAAAGAATCGGCAGCTCCGCCATGTGATATACTAAGTGTTATTTTACCAAAGTCATATGTGCGGAATCGAGTTAGGATCAAGAGTTGCCGACGCTACGTCAAAGTTAATAGATAGGGAAGGGTGATACTGGAAAAAGGACAATGTGAAAATATTTGAGATATTGAGAGTTTTTTGCAATGAAAGCCAAATGCGATTAACCATTTAGAATAACTATGTGTACAGAACAAAGTCATTTCTGCCTGGTATCGCTGTATATATTTTGAATGTTTCGATCCAAAGGACGAATGTCTTTAAGCCCCTATAACAGCCCCCGATATATTTTGAACAATTTGTACAGGATATTAAAGGATGGACTTTGTTTGATAATCAAAATTAGAAATTATGTCATTCTGAGCTTTATTTTCCAAAATATAGATCATTGAGATGGCCTTTTAAATAAATTCAATTCAAACTTCTGATTTTGAGTCTAAGGCACGATCAGATGTTGAAAGCAAAACCTGTATGAAACGAATCCTTAGAGTAATAGACCGAATTGATAGTCGTATTGGGAATATAGCACGGAATAAGAGAGTGCATCAAATCAGTCTAAATATACATCAAGAGTCAAATTAAGATAAGAGCGACCGCAAAAAGCACTACTGATCTGTCAGTTTGTTTCCTTCTGTCAAATAAATACATTGTTGGACCAATCTGGCAATTTCGATATGTCAATCAATTCTAAAATCAGAAATATACCAAGGTCGTTCGAACAAATAGTTCCGTGTTCGCAAATAGAATGCATCTACTTTTTGTGGTCGGGTTTTCTTTTTTCTTATCGTATCACGTCTGTGGAAACCAAATTGTTCTGGGTTACCAATTCCGAGTTCACTTATTTTATCAAATTTGAAAATTCAGATGAAAATAGTCCCTTTGCTTGAAAAAATGTTGGCCCTTTTTGAAAATTTGGACGAGGCAGCCACACACAACCGGTAAGTGGTTTCAGCAACTTAATTTCAAAAGTCATCGCTTGAAAAAACATTGAAATGAAATTTGAATCATCGTACCAACTGTATTTGATAAAATAAGTAAACGCAGAATTCTTGGGTCAAGTCACAATACTTCGGCAAGAGTCGGAATACTTGGGTAGCCCAGAACACTTAGAGCTCCACACTCGTCCGTCATTTTAGTCTAGTTCCATGTGGCTGGACGCAGAAACTAACTGTAGACGAAGCTAAGCGAAGCCAAATGAATGTAAATGGCACTCATCTCATTTCCCTGCCCATGGAATAATAATGCAAATACACGTGTATGATGTAGAGGGAACACGTATCATTCTCCATCTTCGACTTCAAGGGTGTTATATCACACGCTGGAGCAAATTAAACCTTCTGAATCAAGATGTACACACTCTAAGTTCGATAGAATTAATCGTGATGATGAAACTAAAACAAATCTACTTGCAAATTGTAAACCTGTAGAAACATGTGTATTCTTGGTAAGAAATAGATTCAATATCAAGTTGCATTATCAATAAACGTAGCACTAGTTTGCCATCTATTGACAGGCGCAGCTGTCACAGACTTTCATCGGATGGAATCCTAGTTTTAACTCACGCATAATAGACTATAACTCACAGCACTTTTACATCAACTGCACGAGGTTCGATAATGACATTTTTTCAAAATTAACTTTAAAATGTTTATTTTCAGAATGATAAGTGTGTCTTGAAGAGAATTGTTTTATTTACAACGTTGACGAATGTATTTATTGCGTTATATTGTATTGTATTGTATCATATTGTACTGTCTTGTATCGTACGGCTACTTATATCAAATATTAGCAGACTTAAGAGCCTGTTGTGACTTAGGGAAACACATTTTCGAAGGAACATTCTAGTATGAAGTCATAAAAGAAAAATATAGTGGAAGAATTGTGACAAACTGCCTGAAGAGACGTGATCTCTGTCTTATTGCTTAAGCTTGGAATTCTTTTATATTCATCACTTATAGTATAAATTCTGAAAAACAAGTTCAAAGCTAATAATTAGCTAAATTCTTTGCCCATAAAAAAAACGATTCTTCATCATTAGTAAAACCATGATCACCTGGCTGAATTTAGATACCTGGAAACTCTCATTCTCATGTACATGATCACGATAACATGAACGCACTATCTCGATCATCGCGACTTTCATCTAGTTCAATGTAAAACAGTGCAGCTGCTCTTAGTAAAAATCTCTTTGAGACAGAAGTGGTTTATTTCTTGTCGTGAATCTTTAGCAATCGTGTAATTCTACGCGTGTAATTGACATATTTACATTTGTTACGTATAACGTTATTAACTGGGATTCATTTGAACCTTTAGAAACTATCTTTAAAGATATCAATAGTTAACAAAAAGAATCGATTGATTTCTGAAAGACGACGGTGAAAGATCTGATATTTATCTCCTGGAAGGATGACCTATTTATTGATCAGCAAGGTCAAATAAAAAAAAGGTAATTTTCCGTTGCTAGAGCAACAGAGGTCTAATTCATTCTATTATATACGACAATGAAATAATTGGTAGCGCACTATTTTTGAGTTATGCCAGTATGTGGCATCGTTGTAGAGGTACGAATACCTAGATGCCTATGGTTCATTTTGACATTAATTCAAAACGGGTTCATCATCTACTTTTTGATATAATCAACAACTTGAAATACTCCAAAATTATGGCAAAATTCGTATGCCAATAACTCATGTTTATCTTTAGTTAATAGTATAAATAAACAACACAAATCAGACTACACAAATCTAGCACTTTGCAATCGAAGGCTTCGAACACACTCTGTTAAGGTAAAAAATGACGCAGTTTGCCCTAAGGTTCCAATACATCATTGGAAAGCGTTATCGGGTGTCACCTTTGTGTATCTGGTAAACTTTTCGATGTTCATCAGTTACAAAATTATCTATTAACCAATTGATCACTTGCAGGTTAATTTTGAGAATAATAATTTTATAAGAATTGTTAATTATTGGAGAATTTCTATAAGCAATGTTCAGACACTGGAATATAGAGAGATTTCACAACGCACTTATAGCGTGTTTATGAATTCCTTATGTCTTATAAAATGTGTGTATTGCGTCATCATTTGTTGAGTAGCTCTATCCATTCAAACGGAGCCGTCGCTTAACGTTGTTTATATTATAAGTGATTATTGGTAGGAAATCTCGATGATACTTGACATGATGTCATATTACCATCCAATCCAATTTTAAAACAAGGAATTTTGAGAAAAATATTTATTTTTGATAAAAAGTACATTAGAATTGATCGACAAAATTTTGTATACGTATCTTTTTGCAAAACGCTTAATTTCATTTCACTTATACTTGAACGTATATTATTGCTAACTATTTGAAAGAATATGTCAATTTTCTATATGCCAGTTAATTAATAGTCCAATTATTAAACTTTACTCTACACTAAAAATAATATCACGTTAATCATACACAATTATTGGATATCGCCTGCTATCTACTATCTATTGGGCACAAGGACGAGCCGAAATACATTTTTATTTTTATTTCGCTTACTAAAAAATTGACATACAATTAAAAATGTTTGTGGTACACATTGCAGAATGTTTTCAGTCTCTAAAACAGTTCATTTTAGAAGTTTTGCAGATATCCCCAAAGTGTACACTTTATTCCGGAAAAACTTATAGATTTTTACAATAATGTAAAAAATCGTTTCCTTTTTTATTATTTGGGAGAATTTAAACATTTTTTGACATTTTTTAAACAACTTTTGCACTTCAAATTGGTAATAACTTCACCAATGTATACATAGCATATCACGCATCTTTTGGGAGATGTTGTATTTGAGATCATAGATTGTTAGGCCAATTCTACATTTTGCTTGAAACTTTGCCACCCCTATAGATCATAATCTGCCATAACTACCCTTCTTTTACAGTGTTTTAATTATATTAACTTAATAAATAAAAAGTAATGGGAAATGAAATTACCTTTGCAACTTATCCAAACAGTGAATGTAACGAGTGCTGCGGGATATATGGCGCTGCACCATCGCATTGTTTAATCCTTGGTTATCTCACTTATATCTCTCATTATTTGTTGCTGTTCTATCCAATACGAGATTCAAGATCAAAGTGATACGGAAATCACAGGCAGAGAAAGATACCTGTCAATGTCGCATTATTTGAGTTACATTCTGTGTTGTCAAAGACCCTAGATCCAGATGAAGCGAGCGAGTTCAAGTTCGTATGTAAATGATAAAAATTATGGTTTCACGTAATTGTGACTTCCTGGCTAAAGTGATAGCATTCTTCCTAGATTATAATCCATGATAAAAAATTGGCCATTGTTTTCAACTTTGATTAATTTCAAAGTAAAATTTTCCCGATTGTCTGTGATGAATCACTGCATACGTTGTTCATTTATACACAATTCCTAAGTCAGTCGCTCAGCCAACACTATTAATCTCGTTTGAAGTTATTTATTTTTACATTACATTGCCTGTATAAATCTTTTAAATAAGAGAAAACTGTACATCGAATATTTCGGAATTAATCATTCATGTAAGCTATTATCCTTCGATTGGTTATCTTTAAATATGCATACTTTCATTTCCTGCTCGTGTTAAAAAGAAAACCATCGCAGTTACATTAATACTTTCCATCAGGTGTCCATTAAATCCAGTTGTTAAACTAATGTTTTTGCTCCGTATCTCACTAAAACGATTTTGGGGCAGCTGCAAAACTGGACAGAAAGTTTCTACTGTTCACATTATCCAGTACTTTATTTATTTTATCCACTCGTATCTCTAAGGTCGAGATTTACTTACTAAAACAAAGATTAGCACAAGGATTATAGCATCAAACGACGCCGTAGATTAACCAACTTATTTGAGCTCATCATTAATATTATTCCAACGCTGTTTAAAACAATTCCCGTCTGAGATCTTATACTGACGATTCCTTTGTTCAGAAATTGATTCAACTATCCATCTATCATCTTCTAATGTCCTCATTACTTTGTTACGTTACCCTGTGATATTTCGCCTTATTACAGACCAAGTTGTAAGGTAGCTGAAGCTAGAAACTTCGACTCCTCTCGATCGCTTCTTCCAGCAGTGACATCTCTGACGATAGAGCTGGCTATCTAGATACTTAATACGATCCAGAGACTCGGATTGGGCGATTTTAATTAATCACATTATCCGCTGGATTACCATTATAAGCTCACCACCTGAAATTAAATAAGAATTATAAATTGATATGATTGAGTCTTAAGCTTCAAATTATATTTTTTGCAGATAAAATCACTAAAAATCCCAAGATTATGTCAAAGTTAGTGGAATGATTAAGCTTAGAGATATTATAAATCCTCAAATAATATCGGTTATTGAACGCATATGTCATATACACTTCCCTCCATAAGTATTGCAACTGGGATTTTTGACGATCGCAAAACCTAAACAGACTTTGGTACGTAATCCAAATGGAGAGGTCCGGTTTCCATATTTATGGTTGGGAGTGTATCTATGACGGGATGGATTACTAATCAAAAAATAAAAATGAATGCCGAAAAAAGATATATGAAATTTATTGTGAATAAATCTTGAATATATTGTTGTCAGAAGTCGTATGATACAAAATACACTCCCCTCCATAAGTTTGGCAACCTTTTTTCTCCATTGAACTACGTGTTAAAGCCTCTTTACGTTTGAATTTTTATTTACTTAAACGGCGATGAAATAACTTATAATATTAATGGAAACCTAACTTGACTTTATTTCCAATACCTCCAAATTTTCTCAATTTTTTTCCTCAATTACAATAGGTCGAAAATTGATGATAAATTTGATGACTTTTTGAAAATCGTCATTCCCATGTAATCCAATGGGAAAGGGAGGGTTCGGGGCATATCAGAAATCAGGATATCTTTTCAGTAAAAGATCTCAGCAAAAATATTTTTATATAGAAAATTGAATTGTCTAACTTTTTTTAACACTAAGTGTTTAGTTTATTTGATGAATATTAAAGTTACAGCGCTTCAAAGTCATTTTTGAAAAGAATTTTTCGCCTCCTGTGTTATTTCAATGGGAGAGGTTTTTTGAAAAACAATTTTGACTTTAAAGCCCTATAACTTTGTTGAACCTGAAGAAACATATCAATTTTTTGTTAAATAAAGTTAGCAAATTCAATTACCTGCCTAACTCGTATTTTTGCAAGGACTCGGATGGATATTCTGTCATATGACTTGCGGCAAACCTACCATTTCCGATTGGTTAACATGGAAATGTCGATTTTCAAAAATTCATCAAATTCATCATCAATTTTCGACCTACTGTAATTGAGGAAAAAAATTGAGAAAATTTGGAGGTATTGGAATTAAAGTCAAATTACGTTTCCATCAATAGTATATAAGTATTTTCATCGCAGGTTAAGTAAATAAAAATTCAAATGTAAAGAGGCTTTAACACGTAGTTCAATGGGGGAAAAAAGGTTGCCAAACTTATGGAGGGGAGTGTACATGTACATGCATCTGCCTTCGAACCTAAGAATATTAGTTCCACAAAATAATCGTGTTTCGCAACAAGTTATCAGTATCATCTTAATTAAAGGTAAAATGGGGTGAAATGCTAGTCTAAGACTAATTTCAAGTTCCTCGCTTCACATGTCTTTTATTATGCACTTGTAGTATACGTATGTACATGACATGTATATTTTTTGAACTAACCAACTGTTTAAAAATGTACACCCCCTTCATCACATCTATCATCAATTTTCCTACTATTGTAACTGAGGAAAAAATTGGTAAACTTTGGTGGCATTGGAAATGAAGTCAAGTTACCACGGTGTCCAACCCAAACGCTCTTACACGCACGACGGAGCGTTTCATTCACGTGGAAACGCTGCGGAGCGAAATAAAATGGCGGCTTTTGAAGATCCCACTATGACCGTAAGTACTGTTTCACTCGTTTCTCCTACATATCATACGTTATGGTGACATATTATGTACCATTCGATGAACAATTCCCCGGGCAAAGATCTTATTTATTCAACTTCTGGTGGTAAACTATTATTTGCTTGATCAAAGCTCCGTAGTGTAGATGGAACGAATCTGGAGGTGACCAATTGATGACCACAAATTATGAATTAAATTAGTATTTAAATGAAAACGTCAATCTTTCTGTCAAAGTAGTAGATCACAAACTCGTATATTCTCATTTGCTAAAATCCCAGTTCAAATCCATTACTTGTTCTCGAAAAGTCACTTGTTTTCCTCGAAACGTTTATATGTGAATTAATCTTCCTTCTTTTGATGCCAAAGGATATAATAGATCTTTTCTTTCTCTTACTGAAAAGGAAAGTCAAGCTAATTCCTAAATGCCTAATCATATGTAGACTAGTACCGCAGCGTTTCCAGTTCACTGTATTAACCAGGTCGCAGCGTTTCTTTAATGTGAGGTTGTTATCATTTTTAAAACTTGTTTTTCGGGCTTTGTAAATTGACCAAAATATAATCTGATGCTCTAATCTTTCCACAACTAATCACATGTCTCGACAAAAGTGGTTTTGACCGTTAGACTGACGAATTCGTTTATGAATTTTGAACTATACTGCTTTGTACAGCACTTCCAAGTTGCTTCAAACGTCAACAACCAGCCAAGTATAACATGAATATCACACCCATCGAACGGTATACTCGAAATAAGTAACACATACCTCTTATTCCCATTATTTGGGAAATCGTCAGACGGCCCATCATTCCCGCCCGCCATTTTTCCTACTCCGGAGTGTTTCTTTGTTTAGCTTCAGTAATGAAACGCCCTGTCGTGCATGTAAGAGCGTTTGGGTTGGACACCGTGGTTACATTTATATTAAGAGTATTAATATTAATATTAAAAGCATTTCCCTCACGGATTATGTAAATAAAAATTCCAACATACAAATGTAAAGAGACTTTAACACGTAGTTCAATGAGGGAGCTAAGGTTGCCAAACTTATGGAGGGAGTGTACATTGTTATGGACAATTAGGGTTACATTGCAAGTCTTATTGCTTTCATACGTACCATTTTGTTAAAAAAGCTACGTTGGGATGGATTTTTTTAGGTGCTACATATCAGCACAAAATCCATCATGAGGAAGTTTTTAGTCAAAATGCTTCTCAACGAAGCAATGAAGCCCTGTCGTCTGAATTGCATTTACTTGTATTGTACTATATTGTATGACAGTGTATTGTAAATGCAATTCATTGAATTGAATTGTACATTGAATTCCATTGTATTGCATAACCGTTATGAAATGTTTTACAGTGTATGGATCCATTTAAGCCGAAAACAAATTGTTACAGGTATAAATTGCGCTCTATTTAATGCCTATCAACAACCATTTGTAGGTTAAACAGTGATAAAAACAACTCACATCAGATAAGATGATAAGAAAGGAGAATGTTTGCAGAAGCACCTGTTACACAAATATCGTTCGTCAGTTTGATATTCTGACAGAACGCAATTATTCACTTTGTAGAACTTAACACTTTTGACTTTGTTATTATGATTGCAAAAATGCTCCAATGGTGGAAATACTGTAAAATGAGGATTTTTGGAAGTATTTTCTAATGGCGCAAATCAAATCAAAATACTATTTTTGATTATTTTTTCTGATATATGATAAGAAGGGCTATTACCTCAGAAAGTGAGAACCCGTTTCCTTTAAGCACTATTGTCAAATCCAAGAACAAATTAAAAATATATATACATTATTAGGCATAATATGCAATACAATACAATACAATACAATGCAATGCAATGCAATACAATACAATACAATACAATATTACGCAACCACATCAGGATACAAAGGGTTTGGTCACGTTTTTCATTTTATAAAAGTCAATAATATACAAACGTGTCTCTTAGTCAATTATTGAAAATGATGCTTTAACTTTATTAAACCCAGAGGGTATAAATATCTTATGCTGTTTCACCTCAGACACATTTTGTTGAGAGCAATTGCAATGCAACATTTCCATAGAAAAAATAATCACAGGTAGATCAGAGGTATTTTCTCTTAATATCTGTAGCGCAAAAAATCTGTAATGAAAAGGGCCTGTTGTAGCGGCCATCTTGAACACCATGTACATACGAAGGATGCGAAAGAAGAAAATATTTGTAAGTCAGGAACAGTCTACAGTCTACAATGTTAGGAAGACGTGTCATTTTGGGTTATTAAGCAATCAAGTAACTAGTTTCCCTTACACACGCGTGTAAACCAAATAGTACCACTGTCGGCTTTTGTTATCAATGTCGGAACTCATTAACTGTCCGGACCAGTCAGTCATTTTTCACCTCAACCTCCAGGTGTTATGCTAAAATTGGATTCAAATCTCAAAACCTGCTGCATTCGTCTTCTCATTTTACAAGGCCATCAGATACATATGTTACATTCCTTCACCATCAGAACTAGTGGCAGCGATCAAAATAACGATAGATTCTAACAGGGACGTGAACAAGTTACATGTATTAATTTGGCTATATTGCAAAACACGTTTTAAATTCTCTATAGTTTCAATACTTCATAAATATGTTAGTGTTGTAGTCTATACTGAAAATAATTTCTCTTAACCGATCCAGGACATCGTACCCTCAGGTTTGGGCTAAAGCTGTTATGTTCGGTCGGTTTTGGATACAGGATTTATGTAATATGTATTTATTTATTTCCCTCGGGATGAATCCTGTTTGCAAAATCCGCAAGTATATAATCCTCATGTATGTGGCCCGAATTTCTGATTTTCAAGAATATGTGACAAATTCAATATAATATTTTGAACTGAAAATTGTTCAAAAACGATTTTAAATTAAATATGAGGCGTTTAAGTTTTAATTAGTATGTATTTATAGCGTTCTTGAAAATCAGGATAGGCAGTGACATCTATTAGATTATATCTTCTCACGCATTAGTATACAATGTACATCATATTATCGACAGAGTTTCCATACATCGGTCACTCTAAATCACTGGTAATCACCTAGTTACGCTGATATTACGTCAGCATAACAGGATGGAAGAACTTTCAGGCTTCGTTTTTTATTTTCAGCCATTTTAGTTAACATTGATTTG